GCGGCGTTTTGGAATAAACGCCACAAAAGGATGATATCTATAGCACCGTTTTTAGAACAAACGCCACAATAGGTCAGATCTATAGCGACATTTTTTGGAACAAACATCGCAAAAGGTCTGATCTATAGCGGCATTTTTTGGATCAAACGTCGCAAAAGATCAGATATATAGCGACATTTTTTGGAACAAACGCGGCTAATTTCCTTTTTTTTAGCTTAGATTAATTGATTTTGCATATTTCATTTATGCAATAGATCACCTAAATTTAATATCATGTAACTTTATCTAATTAACAACCGCCATAAATTTTAATTAAGACTTATATTACGCAAAAAAAATACTTAACAACAAAATAAATTAAAATTTATAAACATTACAATTAAATGCAATGTAGTTTGACATTATTTCTCTATAATTTAGTCTAGGTTCTTTCACTTTCAATTAAAAAAAATATTGTTCACCCATGTAGGCTAACATTCAACGATAACCCGGCACCACTTGCTGCATTTTTCTGCTCAACATTCAGAACCGAGGTGTTACGTTGCTCCACATTCAACGCCGTAGTTGACTCGCAAATAGCTCCTGATTTGAATTTTGGTTTTGGCTTTGCATGGATTCCGGTATAAAGTCTGTGTTAAAAACAGAAGATTGTGAGACCTGCATAGTTGTGCATCACTCATACCATCTTTAAAATACAACATAGAATGTTGTGCAGCACTAGACCATTTCTAGAATCAGCATTAATATTAGTACAACATAGTAACGGTCCCAAAACACATAGTTGTGCAGCACTAGAGCACCTCAGGAAGAAACATAGAAATACAACAAGTACACAATTTCAAGGAATAAACAGGTAAGGTAAAGACAACTAGAACACCATTTCAAGTCACTAACCTAAAGCTACTGCAATATGACATAAATGATACATCTTTTCATGATAAAAATCAACTAAAAAGAGAGCATCATAACTCTTCACATGCCAAAACAACAACTTAAAGTTGAAAGGAAAACAACATTTAAACAAGGAACACAAAAATGATAACATAACAGCAGTAGTGCAGTACAACAATTTTGAGGGCAATGGCAACTAAAGTATATTTTATTCTAAGGAAATAAACCAAATGAGAGGGAAAGAATAAAAGATGCAATGTAAGAGAAACTGATTATTGATTTTAGGAGATTACAATAGTTTAAATAAACCCACATGATGACTTTTAATAGGGCTTTTCTGCTAAAGATAAAATTCTATCTAGAAATAGAGATTACAAAGACTCCTAAGACTTATTTTTTCTTATCATAAAAGACTCCTAAACAAACAAGACTTCTACAATGCTGATTCTAACAAAATTCACAAATGAAACACACACTGATATCTAAAGAAGGGAGTTTCTCAAATATTCCATGAGGAATGAAGATAGGAACATAACAGAAGAAAACCTGCAGGTCGCCAAAGAAAAGTGCAATCTGAAATGCATTTGCAAATTCCGCAAACTGAATATAATGTTGTGTTAAGGATTCTGCTAGATTTCATCAGCAATATGAGAAGGAAAAAAGTCACATAGGTAATCATTGGGTTAAGGATTCTAGAAATTAAAGTTGGATATGCAAGACATGTATGCGTAAACCGTGATCATTGGGTTTACCTGGATATAGACATTAATCAACAAACAGATCAATATTCATATATATTGTTGCCGCTTAACAAAGCAATATTGGACCACAGGCTATTGGTAAGAACTAGGAATACAAGGCTTGTACTTACAAGACTTGCAACAGTTTCAGATTTCAATAAATGAAATATATACGGCTGTTAAATCTTGGACCACAAATATACTATTACCGCCTAACAAAGCAATATTGGACCACAACCTCTTAAATCTCAATTCAACTTTCAGACCGGAAGATCCATGTTCTAAATGTACAAGTAAAACGAGATACAACAATCATGCAATCATGAAATGTACGCCTGTTCTACCAGAACTAAAACACATCAACAGCCCACTAAAAGAGAACCTTGTTGAGCGTTCATGATGTAATATTCTATCCATAAAAATAGTGGAGAATGGAAATTGAAGCGTCACCAAATATTGTTTAGCTCAATCCACATAGTTGATAGACTTATGTAAGGCAAAAAAGGAAATTAATTTGCCTAGAAGGATCTACAATTTCCTAACTAGAGCACTACAATGTTTTCCAAAATTTCAAGACCTATGATGTGAACATAGATAAAACAGAATAAGGCAAAAGGAAAATTAGAAAACCTATTTGGTTTAAAACTTACCAAGAAGTGCATAATTGCTTTAGGCACAGAGCCCTCTATATTCTTACTAACAATGTCGTAGTATGATCTTAAGAGCAATTTGGTGATAGCAATTTCAATAGCTTCGATTTTTTGAACGGTCTTCTGAAGGCCTCAAGACAGATGAGGGCTAAAAGAAGAAAAAAAACGCTTGTAAAAAACTAATACTCATATTTTTTTAATTTAGTACTGGAACCTTGCGGGGTTATCTGATGTGTATGCACCTCTCTCAAATGGATCATGGACAAGGCATGCTCCATGTCATGGACAGGTTCACTATGTTGCTTGTTTGTTGAGCTCTCTTTCACTGATGAACAGTTATCACTGCCACAAAATATTGATGAAATACCCCAAGTTGAACCACTTGTACCTGATAAACCCCACATATAATAAATATTTTACTGTTATGCTGCTTGATAATTACATCAAAACACTTTGAGTGCTATCAAAAACCCAAAAATTCATATCAGAAATCCCCTGACAAAAGAAAAGGGGGCAAGAGAAAAACCATCAATATTGGCCTTCTTGTTAGACAACAATCACAAATAGAACATTAGAATATCGTATAAGAATTCAAAATGAAAGTCTAAAATGCGGTACCAGTGGAAGGATGAAGGAGTAAAATGTTGCAGGTTAGTTATCGTCAAGAACTGACGGATGAAGGAGAGCATAAAAACTCAAGTCTTCACAATGATCAACATCCTGTAAAACAAATCAGTTAACAACAACTTAAAATCAGCACCAAGAATATCTATGTACATAAAAAGCAACTGTATAGAGCATGTCTATCTATCAACAATTTCTAGAATTGTAATGTATGACTCTTGCTGATGTTTGTTTGTGCTCTAAATGAAACAGCAACAATACGTAAAAATATGAAGGTTTTATTTTACTACCAGAATAGAGGGAAGGTGAGAATCCAAAAAATAATTTTAATTTTACCTTAAAATGCAAGAAATATTATGAAGCTGCAACACCAATGGCCTCCGTGTAACAATCCCTTAAAATGCAAGAAAATTTATGAGAATCCAACAAATAATTTTAATTTCCCCCTTTTTTGAAATCAATTTTACAAACCCCATTTTTAATTTTAGAAACCCAACTTCTTATTTTCAGAATGGAGAAAAATCTTGAGAAAAAAAAAGAAAGGCAAAGGGGAAAGGGAACTTACAGAAGAACAGAAGGAACAATGTCTTCGGAGCTACCATTTGATTCCAGTAACCCAACTTGAAAACGAGAGAAGGTAAATTACAATGCGACGGAGGTCTATCTCAGGGAGATATAGAAAAGGTAAGTCAAAGAGAGAAGACCGTGGATGGAGTGAAGGCAGAGCTATTTCGGACGTTGTCCCGAAGGGAAAAAAAGATTTGTGAAGGGAAGAAGAAGGTGGAACAAAACTCATTTGAGGACGTAATGAGATTTTTATTAGGGTTTCAGCGTGTAAATTGGGATAATGCGGATATGTGGTATTAGCGGCGTTTTTCAAAAATCGCCATTATATATCAGTTTATAGCGGCGTTTAATATACAAACGCCACTAAAGTACTAGAATTTAGCGGCGTTTGTGCTTAAAAGCCACTAAAGTACGAGTATATAGTGGCGTTTGTGCTTAAAACGCCACTAAACTATGAGTATATAGCGGCCTTTGGACAAGAAACGCCACTAAAGTTTAGTATTTGCGGCGTTTTATAACAAACACCACTATTGATGAATACTATTGTGGCATTTGTCTAAAAACGCCGCTAAAATACTCTTTATAAACAAACCCTATTGTGGCGTTTATGCTAAAAACGCCTCTAAATGACTATTCTATCACTGCTAAAGTTTCATTTTGCGGCGTTTGAATTGTAAACGCCGTTATATGTTTAAATTTTGTGGCGTTTACTCTCCAAAAGCCGCTAAAAACGCCGCTACAGAACAGTTTTGCATTGGAATCAATTAATATCTTAGTATGTTATATATATTTATAATTAAATTTAAACAAAAATTAGAACAACTCAACTCAAATTTTATAAATTTGACTCGACTCAATTTTTTTAAAATAAAGTTTAAATTATAAAATAAGACTCATCAATTTGTTTAATTCGATTTTTTATTCAATTTTATCGAATAATCACCTCTAATTAGCTTGAGTAGAAATTGATAATTCTATCAGTTCCTTAGATGATGCTAAAACAAGGCAACTGAAATTGGTTCAATCAGTCAAACAGTCGTTTGTTGGGACAGTGATGCATGTTTATCCAAAAAAGGCAACTGAGATTGAGTAGATTTAATATCGATTTTTCCAGCCAGTGGAAGACGCACACAAAAGCTGTTTCACAAATCTTTGTCCGAAAAATCCTCTATACCTTTCTGTCTCAAACAACAATAAAAAAAACCATTTGCATCATCCAACACCAACCCAACATAATTTAGGCACCCCCCTTCATCCTATAATCCCTCGCCATCAATCCCCTCCAATCTCTACACCAAAATCCAACACAATTTTTTATCTCTTTCTTGCCATTTTTCGAGATTTCTCCGCCTGCTTTTAGTTAAGGTCATCACCCCGCCCCAGTCTCCCTTCAACAATGGGGAATTGTTGCTGTGGTGGTAGCTCCGCGACCGACAACGAAGCTAACAACGAAGAAAAGGGAGATACACAACAACAACAACAACAACAACAAGAAGTTTCAGCACCACCAGCAGGAGTCCCCGCCGCAGTATCCACCTCCTCCCCCATGCCTTCCGCCCTCGGAACCGTCTTAGGTCGGCCAATGGAAGACGTGAGATCAACCTATAACATCGGCAAAGAATTGGGTAGGGGTCAGTTCGGGGTAACCCGATTGTGTTCCCACAAAACAACGAGGGAACAATTTGCCTGCAAGACGATAGCCAAGAGAAAACTGACCAACAAAGAGGACATCGAGGATGTTAAAAGGGAAGTACAAATCATGCATCATTTAACGGGACAACCTAACATCGTGGAGCTCAAAGGAGCTTTCGAAGATAAACAATCGGTTCACCTGGTGATGGAGTTATGTGCCGGAGGTGAGCTGTTCGATCGGATCATTGCCGAGGGCCATTATACCGAGCGAGCCGCGGCTTCTTTGCTTAGAACAATTGTTCAGATCGTGCACACTTGCCATTCTATGGGGGTCATCCATAGGGATCTCAAGCCTGAGAATTTCTTGTTGTTGAACAAGGAAGATGATTCACCACTCAAGGCCACGGATTTTGGTCTTTCTGCGTTTTATAAACCAGGTTGGTTTTACTTTCTTCTCGTTTTCTTCCTAGGGTTAAAAGGTGACAGACGATGATTTTGCCTTGAAATCTGGACAGGTGAAGAATTTAAAGACATTGTTGGAAGTGCATATTATATTGCACCCGAAGTTTTGAAACGGAAATATGGACCGGAAGCTGACATATGGAGTATTGGAGTTATGTTGTATATTCTTCTCTCTGGTTTCCCTCCCTTCTGGTCGGGTTAGTGTTTATATATTCTTACTGAATCGATACATTCATAAAGTTTAATGTTTAAAATAACGTTGTTTAGGACATAAATAATTGTCGCTAAAACGAGGTTATTTTGTTCACATCATCCACATAATTGTGATGTTCAAATCAGGGGTGAAGCTACGTAGGAATTAGGAGTCAAGGGCGAAGCTACATAGGGGTTAGGAGGGATGTCCCTTCCAAAGTTTTTGGTATAATGATATTTTAGGTCGTTTTAGTTTCAATATTAATCAAATAAGGTTTTTTCCCTTCTCAACTTTTAGATTTAAATACTTAAAAAATTCTTTTTTATATATATAAAACAAATTTTCTCCCCTCATCATTTGATTCTAACTTTGTCACCGGTTAAAATTTAACTTATTAATGATATTATTGAAGTTATAATAAAAAGTTTAGTGGTATACACGATACATAATCTAAAGTTCAGTTGTATATGGTGTAATGTACCCTTTGTTTAAAAGTAAAATTTTCACTGACAGAATCCGAGAATGGGATATTCAATGCAATTTTACGAGGGCATATAGATTTCAGCAGTGATCCATGGCCTCAAATTTCAAGTCAAGCAAAGGATGTTGTAAGCAAGATGCTAAATTCGGATCCCAAGAAGAGATTAACCGCAAGCCAGGTTCTAAGTATGTGTACATATGACTAGGGATGGCAACTCAACCCGAATTCGACGGGTTCCGATCTGACCTGATCCGATCGAGTCAGATTTTTTTAAAAAAAATTCGGGTTCGGGTCGGATCGGATTTTTTTTAAATGTACTGTTCGGGTCGGGTCGGGTTTAGGGTGAAAAAAATCTGACCCGACCCGACCCGAAAAATATATATAATTTTATCCTATATATTTAGGGATAATTACAATAATATCCCTCCATATATAATTTTTTTCAATTAAGTCACTGTTTTCATTGAATAAAATTTTTTTATTATTATTTCGGGTCGGGTCGGGTCGGGTCGGGTTTCTAAGTCATATATTCGGGTCGGGTCGGGTCGGGTGAAACCTTAATTTCGTCGGGTCGGGTCGGGTCACAGGTGAAAAACCTTTTCTTCTCGTGTCGGGTCGGGTGGCCCAAAAACCCGACCCGACCCGACCCATTGCCATCCCTACATATGACTCAAAAATTGAATTTTCCGAATCTACTCAATTGAATATTCACCCCTATGTATCTAATAACAAATGAACGACAACAGGTCATCCATGGATCAAAGAGGATGGTGAAGCGCCGGACATACCTCTGGACAATGCAGTGCTGAACAAGCTGAAGCAATTCAAAGCGATGAGCCAGTTCAAGAAAGTTGCTTTGCGGGTAATTGCGGGGTGTTTATCGGAGGAAGAAATCATGGGATTGAAAGAGATGTTCAAAGGCATGGATACCGATAACAGCGGCACCATAACACTTGAAGAATTGAAACAAGGCCTGGCAAAACAGGGAACCAAACTCTCGGAATATGAAGTTCAACAACTAATGGAGGCCGTATGTCTTTCCCAAACTTACTCTCTCTTTTATAAAAGGCATAATGATAAAAGAAAGCATAAGAGGCATAAAAGCATGAATTAGGGCTAAAATGATTTAGTAAATCATAATAGGCATGTTTTGGCGTTATACATTTAATTTCTTGTTCTGATAAACAAAACAGGCTGATGCAGACGGAAATGGAACCATAGACTACGATGAGTTCATCACTGCAACAATGCACATGAACCGAATGGATAGAGAAGATCATCTCTACCATGCCTTCCAACACTTTGATAAAGATAACAGCGGGTAATTATTGTGTTTTCCAACCATTCTTTTAGTCACTTATACCTAACTTTTTCTTAATAGTTTCGAGTGATTATAGGATTATATCTCTTTAAACGCTTATATATAACTTATATAACTACTTTCAGATATATTACGATTGAAGAATTAGACCAAACTCTACGTGAATATGGAATGCATAACGGTCGAGACATAAGGGAAATCATTTCTGAAGTTGATACTGACCATGTAAGCAAAATACATGCATGCATGCATGCATATATATATATACAGACATCAAGTTCGAGTTTTGACACAATAATTTCTGCAGGATGGAAGGATTAACTACGATGAATTCGTCGCAATGATGAGAAAAGGAAACTCCGAATCTAACCCCAAGAAGCGACGTGATCTATTTGTTTGATAGTTATATTAGTAATCAGAAATGAATCAAGGGAACTTACGGGACGATCGTTCTCTAAAATTTTATAAATTTGTTCCCCTAAGATCAATTAGTAACCAAACTTGGAGGATAACACCAACTTAAGTTGTTTTAATGACGAAGAGCATATGTAACAGTAGATAATTCGAAGGTCTAATTATTAGGTAGTGGATGGCTCAAGGGTTGTATGTTAGATTTGGTAGGTCAGTCAGATGGTTTATTGGTTGCACTACCTGTTAGATCTATTGTATATTGTATGTTAGAGTTGATAGGTTTGATTTGAATTGGATCAAGCCTGAGATAGAATAAGCTAAAGTTGGCTTGATTTCAGTTGAATTATTGTTTGATAAATAATATATTTTAATTTTAATTATAAGATGATAAATTTAATATAATCTTTTAAATGATAAAACAAACTTTTCAAGTTGTTGGCTTACGCCATCACTAAAAAAAAGGGGGAAAGAAGCTTAAGAGATAAATATTATTGGGTACTTTTTCTACATAAAATACCAATTATGCTCGTACCAAGAAAACAAATATAATTAAGTAATTATGTAATATCCTCAATTCGATCTGATCAAAAATTAGATCCACAATGTTACACAAATTAATCAAAATGAAATTGATAATACTATATAATCAAATAATTAAGTTATAATTTTAAGGACTAATTTATAGTTACAATTTTTATTTAGAACATTTGAGACCAACTCATACAATTTAACATGCTTTGAGATTAGTTTCGGAGTAACAACTTGGTGGTGAGCGTAGGCACGAGCTCACCTTGAAATTTAAATTTTCTTTAATTAATTATTTATTTTATAGATGATGTTGAAACTTTTTGTGTTCATCATAAAATCTGAGTTTTCTTCGATTAATTATTATTTTACTTAAGGTGCCTATCCTGAAATTTTATTTACATCCATCCCATTTAAATATTTTATGTTGTTAATGTATGTGTGATCACGTTTAAAAATATTTCTGGATCCACCACTGTTTGAAATTATTCCATAATCATCATCAATAATGGACTAAATTGAATAACCTTAAACATTTAATATTGATGGTATTGATATTGTTTATACGATATCAATACTACTTTAAAACAATATCGAAATTATATTAATGATATCAATTTGAATTATTTTTTAATTTTAAAGTTTAATCTAATATCGACATTTTCCCTTAGTACCGATATTACATAAGTACAATAATAATACTGATCAATGGTATCTATACTCTTTTAAGGCTATTAAATTTGGATCCATCTAATAAATATCAACACTCTAGCAATTGGTATTGATACCACGTGTAGTATTAATACTCTATAAATATTAATACCAAATAATCATTTAAAATTTTCACTAAGCATATGGTATCAGTACTCGCTATTTTTAGTACGGTACCATATGCATCAAATATTAAATGTGTAAATCCTAAACCCGATTTAAAAGAAATTAGATCGAATCTAGAGAGTTTAGTTGAAATCTTTTCTCTTAAGCAAATCATGTTTGAATCAAATCTTAAAATTTTACATTGTAATTTAATGAAATAAATTTTCAAATTCCAACTTCATAATTTTATTAAAACAACCGTTCAAGAAAACCATATATAAATGATAAATATTCAAAATATGCATAACAGTTTTCAAAATTAATTATAATGTCTGAAGTCTCAATCACAAATAATAATAAAAATAAATCCAAAAGTAAATAAATGTTCGATAACAGAAAAGTAGATTAAAAGTCATACTAAATAATTATTCATATGAAAATAGTTGTTGAAACCTCCAAGTATCGGTTCACCTAATTTTGAATATCTGAAATAAAAATTGTAGGGGTGTAAGCTATTAAGCTTAGTGTGTCTCTAAAGTACATGCAGTCGCAATCATATCATGATTCGAACAACAAACAACAGTCAAATCCGAATAAACCAATAATAAATCACAATTTCGACAAGCATTGATAACATAAATTTGAATGTTATGTAAATGCTCATGTACCCGCTCGTACTCCAATCTCACCCAAAAGAGTGGGTTCTCGAAAACCACACTAAATCCAACCCACACACCATATAAGTGGGGTTCGTCACAAAGGCAAAGGCTACTGAATCTAAAAAAATGACATTTATCCCGTCGAGTGAATGCACTAAACTTTCCCTTTCAAAATTCGTCCCAACATAATATGCAAATGGAGCACACATCTGATATCTGATTCGATCTAATCCGAGTAACACATATCTAAATAACACATACTTGAATAGCATATGTCTGAATTCCGATCTAATCTTAATGAAAATGTAATTATCTAATCTCAGAATCCGATCACATAATATAATTCGAATCCGATAAATAACACATTACACATAATACAATTTGTGTGTGACAAATCATAATAATCAGTTTTTTCAAACGCGTAAGATATATTCCGAATCCGACATAACAACATAAAACACAATATTTATCAGAATTTAATGGAAACAATTTTAACTGATTTCACATAACTGTCAATCTCATAAATCACCGTCATACCAGACAATCAAATAATCACAGAATTTAATATAACACCGATAAGAGATTCATCTCGACAAAATATCCTAACGGTGGTCGACGATTCTCAGAGTCAGCTCTATCAATGGGTGGAACTGAAGCGACTCTTACACCAAATATTTGTGCCAAGTCACTATTCTAACAAACTAACCAAAATAAATTAATCGAATTAACGTATTAAACTATTACTCACGATTCGTCCTGAAACACGAGTCGATATTAAATTAGCGAGTAATGACGAAAGAGACGGTAATTTCGATTCCGAGTAAAAGTCCCCTATAAAAATCACGATGTCCGATTTAATATCTCAATTCAATGGTTTTCAGATTAATGAAGCAATTTAACGACAATTAAAAATAATTCTCGGTTCGAATTAGGAACCGAGTAGTAGGATTTTCAGTTCGAATATGGGGCTGTCTGTTCGAACAAAAGGTCGCCAGTGACGAAAGTACACCGATAACAGACCATAAGACCTGCGATAGTGACCACAAAGCCATCCGATAAGGCAGCGGTGAGGGAAGGGCAGCAGTGACGTTCGGCTATTTGAGGTTGTTCACACACGAAACCAGGCACGTTCGACTAACACCCGCACAACCCCGACCTTACTATGGCCAACGGCCGGATTAAAACACGGTGACGCCAAAAATAAAACAACGCTCACGGTTCAGTCTAACGAGAGGAAGAACCGACGATGTCCAAACGCAATGACAAGGAGAGTGATGGGTTGCGGTCGGAAAACTTCACCGGCGACCTGGGTTCGACGGGAATGGTGGCACATCGATGAAAAATGAGTGGCGACATTGAGAATGCAGAAGCGTGCTCAGCAGAAGAAGAAGAAAGAAAAAAAAGAGTGGTGGGGCCGCGATGGACTTTAAAACAGTGTTAAAATTGTGAGTCTTAATTCCCATAAGTGCCCAAACTTTTTTCTCATCGGATGCCTAACGTTACAAACGTTATCCTTTTAGGTGTCCAGGTCATCAACGCCGTTAGTTTTTTCCGTTAAGTGAAACGTGTCAACACCTAGTAATTTAAAAAAATTTATATAAAATTTTTAAAAATAAAATTATATATTTAAAAAAAACATAAATTTTGAAATAACCCCTAAACTTTGAAAACTTTCATTTCAACCCCTAAACCCATGTTGATCGTTGCCCTTTACCTTCGAAGAAACTCCACCAGGCCTCCCCTCCCCTTGGCGACCATAACCTCTATGAAATCGTGACCGATTGACGATCAATCGACCATAAATCAATGTTTTATATCTCACGAGCCCTATAATGAAAATTATGATCCCACACAATTTTGAAGGTGAATTGGCGAAAACTACGATGTCATATAACTAGGATGATGTCAAAGACTACGTTGACAATGACGATTGTGGCCGAAGAAGGCGCCGACGGTGAATTAAGGTTAGGATTTAGTATTTTGGGGTTGTTTTATAATATAAGAAAAGTTAGGATTTTTTATAAACATAATAATATTTTTAATATTTTTTATAAAAAATAAATTTCAAAATTATCAGGTGTTGACACATAGCACTTAACGCATAAAACTAACGACGTTGACGACCTGAACATCTAAAAGGGTAACGTTTGTAATGTTAGGCATCCGAAGGGTAAAAAAATCTTAGGCATTTATTTGGGAAATAAGGCATAGTTTGAGCACTTATTTGGGCATTAAGACAAATTATGATTCAAAGAAAATAGGGTAAATCACATGGTTGATCCTTCAATTACTTAGGGTTTCTAAAGCTGACATAAACTCTTTCTTTATTTACGATTTGGTCACTAAATAAAATTTAGGGATTTAAGGAAAAATTCTCAAATTCTAGGGTTTCAGATTTGGGGAAAAATTAGAGTGTTACAATTCTCCCCTCCTTAAAGGGAATTTCATCCTCGAAATTTTACCGGAATAGAAATAGAGTGAATCAAAACTATTTATCCTATTAATGTTAATTTGGCTAAACCCTTACTCTGAAGTAGTTTATCCCTATTAACTGAATCAAAACTATTATCTTGCTCACTGCCCATAATTGGTGTCTAAACTAACTATTATTCTTTACCAATCGCTAATCGAAAACTCTTACGAAATGGCATAACAAACTATCTATAAGTGACAATATCCTAAGGTCTAAGTTGATACTTAGAGTTTCGAACCAAAATATTTAACAACTCATTTTTTTAAATAAGAAAATATTTTTTTATTATAAAAATTCCCATTTTACCCTAAAAATATTTATACATATGCAAAAATAATTTTTTATTAAAAAATTTATGGTCAAGCTCCACAGTTTGAGGGTTGAACCGAGCCCTGATATCTCTAAGTGTAACCCCTAAACACAACCTAGAAAAAATTAGGTCGAATTTAGGGAGTATAGTTGAAATCTTACAAAAATAAATCCAAAAGTAAATAAATGTTCGATAATGGAAAATTAGATTAAAAATCATACTAAATAATGGTGTAATAATCTATCTTTTTTTTTCTCTTACAAACTTATTCTAAACCATAACTACCAAAACACATTCGATTAATAGAGAGAAAGAGTAGGAAATTATTTCTTTACAAAATTTTGATGAAGTGATTGTGTATTTTTGTTTGTAAGGGTTCTTGCACACCTTATAATATATTAATTGTGAGTTAGAAAATAGTAAAAAGGATCGAGTGGTTGAAAGTAAAGATCGAAGCTTTTTGAGAATTGAAAACAAATTCTGTTGGATACACAACACACTAGATTCATACTGCCACTTTGATATGTAATTTACGTATCTGCAAAATCGGTAGTGTTCGACTTGTATGTGTTTTAAGAGTTATGTAATTTGAATTTGTTTGTGACTTTTCAATATAAATGTATCTTTGATTATTGGTTTATGCATCATACACAAATACTTTAAGATAGTTATAGATAGAGAGAATAAAAGTGTTATTATTGTAATTTAATGGAATACAAAGAGAGGCAAACTTTTGTGTGAGGTAGATAGTGTTGGTCCTAGAATTCGAATTTTCTTTCGATAGTTATATTTTTTTTTCTTCTGAAATTTTGTTTATGTTCACCTCATATAAAAATTTTGTATCGTTAATATATGTGTGTCCACCCTAAAAATATTTTCAGATCCCACCGAACATAAGCAAAACAAGTAAGACAAAGGAGCATGGATCTTGTAGGAGTAGGCTTAGGAAACATAAGCAGATGGCTCGAGCCGTCGGCGAAGCAAGGCAGAAAGAGGCACAGCCTTCTGCAAAGCAAGGCCAAAGGCCTCGTCCATGTTTAATTCCCCAGTTTCTGGAGGAACCATCCAGTCGAAAGAGTGGACCAACGTGCCTAAAATGTACTCAACTAGCACGATCCCCATCCTGGCTCCCGCACAGATTCTTCGCCCAGCACCAAATGGAATCAGCTCAAAATCGTTCCCTCGTGGTTCAATTTTGGCGTTTTTACCACTCAAGAACCTTTCAGGGTTGAAATCCATCGGGTTTTCCCATACATCGGGGTCTCGACCAATGGCCCAAATGTTGACACTGAGTCGTGTGTCCTTGGGGATGTAATAGCCATTTACCTCACAAGCTTGTATTGAAACTCGAGGCAAGTTCAAGGGAGTAGATGGATGTTTTCGAAATGTTTCTTTGCAAATGGCTCGTAAATAGGTAAGTTTTGGTATGTCAGATTCTTCAAGCATTCGGTTTCTACCCACCACTTCGTCCATCTCTTCGTGAGCTTTCTTCAATACTTCAGGGTTCTTCATCATTTCAGCTAATGCCCATTCGATTATGCTTGATGATGTGTCTGTCCCAGCTGTGAATAGATTCTACCAATGCCAAAAAGGAAATAAAATTAATATGCATAGTGCCAAAATTAGTCAAAAAATTTATTATTTGAATGGTCATTTAGTTCCTATTCTTATTTTTTAAACATTTTTTCATAATGTTTCAATTTTTAGTCAAAATGAAGGAAACTATTAATTTATTAACGCATGTTGTTGAAATGAAATTTTCATGAATGTTTAATTTTCACCTTGAATGACATGATAAATACTATATATTTTGAGTGACGTAATACGTATCGTATCATTCATGATGTAACACATGTCATATCAACAAATATGAAAATTTAATGCATGAGAAAATATCATGTCAACGACATACATTTAATAGGAATAAATCATTTTGACCAAACATGAACATTAAGAACTAAAGAAATAAATAAATATATATATATATAGACCAAACATTAAGACCAAACTCATTAAGAACTAGTTTTGGCATCGTGTCAAATTAATCCTAATAAATATAAACAAAAATTCCGCAGGACGAGACTTACCAAAAGAAGAGCTTTGACATTGACCAAACTAAGTTCTTCCCCATCAGGGTTGCCCGTGTTATCCATAAGTATATCAAGAAAATCAGGTTTTCCCTTACGGTTATGAGCTGTTTCCGCATGCTCTTCCATCATCTTTGTCAGCAAAGCGTCCCATCTTTTATGTAATTTCATCATCTTACCTTCAATCCCCTGCAGATCCATCCATGCAATGGAAGGTATAAAGTCACCAATATTGAAGATTCCAGCAGATGTCATCAGCTCCACCACCATGTCCTTGAACTCATTCGACTCCGACCCTTTCGTCTCAAAAACTCGACGACCTAGTATCACTTGCCCTATCATGTTGGCCATTGCATACGTTAACATCTCAGGAACCACGACCGCCTCCCTCTTTTGGCTAGACTCATACATGACTCGAACCATATGGCCTAACTCAAGAGCCCGAATTTGTGACCAATCCTCAAGGGCTTTACCACCAAGCATGTGGAGATTACTTAGTTTACGAAGCAATTTCCACCTGGGACCATAGTCCGCGAACACCATGTCTTGGGAGTTATAAGCTAAGTGGGTGGCACCAGCATTAGGTGGTCGATTTGAGAAGTTCAAGTCAAGGGTCTTAAGGAAAGCTCGAGCAGCGTCCGGGGTTGATGCGACCACCATGTTGCACGTGCCCATTTTGAGGTACATTACAGGTCCATATTTTTTGGCTAATTGAGCGAGTGTGACATGCGGCATGGAACCTAAGAGCGGAAGCGCGCCAACAACCGGCCACCCTTTCGGACCCGGAGGAAGTTTTCGTTTCCTTTTTCTGACAAGTGAACGGACGAAATAACGTGTGATAAAGAAGAGAAAAATCGCCGCTAGAAAATCCTGAAGGAATAACGAATCAAGGGGTGGCATGGTGCACTGAAAATACCAAAAGATGGGGAGAAACGTAATAGGGTTGTCACAAGGTATGATATTTATGCACAAAAAATAATAGTAAATTGAACGAGAAACAAGTTAAAGTACGTGAATTCAGCTTCGCCTACCGGTTGAGCTGATGTCAATTTTCCACGGAGGACAACTTCTTCCATCAATATATTACTAGGATATTTCCACGCCCCTTCTTTTAACTTATGAATTAAATAGGCTTGGAGTAGTATTTCAATGCTATTATTAATTCTTTTCTTCTCATATTAATGTTGTTAGGTTCATTATACCCTTTAATCCGTTTTTGGGTCGTTTCAATTCTATTTTAATTGTTGAATTTATTATATCTATGGTATTATGAGGTTTTCTTTTTATTAACTTTAATCTTTTTTTATTTTTTTATTAATACATGGTGATTATAAGATAATATATGTTTAGAAATTTTTTAGTCGATTCGGAATGAGCACACACACACCCTACAAACATGGTTACTCAAACCTAAAATCTTGAAAGAGAACACCTCTCATCTTTATCACTGAGATCCCTCAATGAATTTTTTTTCAATTTTAATTTTTAATATAATGACACAATTACTCTCCAATCTTTATTTATTTTTATTAAACTAAGATGATTATAAGGTAATGTATGTTATAAAAACTCTAAATCATTTGATAATGAGCGCTCAAATACTTTGTTTGCAAAGATTGATACTCGAACTTAAGACCTCTAGGGACAACAATCATCCCCTAAGATAACTTCATTCATATTTTTTTTTTAAAAAATATGATTTAATGTCATCTAATATTTCACTTCTAACAAGTCTTTTATCTCTATACTAACGTTCATTTTAATGTCATTTTATGACAACTTTTAATGTCATCTAATATTTCACTTCTAACAAGTCTTTTATCTCTATACTAACGTTCATTTTAATGTCATTTTAAGATGACAACTTGATGGGCATAAGACCACATCAAAATCCATAAAAAAAGAAATAACATTAAAATTATGATTTAAACAAATTTTTTTATTTTGTTTTAAAAAAGCCCTTAAGAAACATAGATCTTTAAACTTCTATTAGTTTATATATATTTAAAATCGTTTTCTAAAATGTATTGAAAAACGTTTTTCAACCCACAACTAAGCCAACACTGAATCATAAAAAAGAAGGGAAAAGAAAAACAATATATTTATAGTTGTATATAAATTGTGAATATCAATGAGAAATGGAATTGTGTAAAAAATAAAATAATCATTTTCTTTTCCTTAAGAGGCTAAATAAATATTATTCCTTAATTCCAAAATCTGTTACAACAGTTTTGCAGTAGAGAGATTCACCTTTGAATGTGAAACACAATTTCCCGATCTCAAGCTAAACCCAGTTTCAGTGTCTGCTTCGATTCTAACTCATTCCACCTTCTTGCTCGATATGTCGTCGCTACCTTCTTGCATTTCAACCGCTGTCTTTGATTCGTCAAACTCCAACAACTGCACACGAAACATTAGATCGTATTAAGCAAAATCATAATCCGATAGTTTGTCATTCCCACTCTTCAGTTTTCTTGAAATTACTCTTAGGGGAGTTTGGATGAGAGAATGTAGGATTTTTTGAGATATATTACCGGAAATATCATTATCTCTTTCTTTAGGTATTGTTAGATTACTTGCGTTTTAGACTAAAATACCCTTAATTTTTTTCTTCAAAAATATCCTTATTCTGTCATTAAATAATAAAAATTTTACGACGGTTAAATTACAAATTTATCCTAAAACTAATTTAAATTTACAAAAAAATCTATAATTAAAATTTTATATGAAGTTCAAGGGTTAAAATAAAATTTTACCATTTTATTAAACATTTTTTATATTTTTAATTTTGTAAAAAAATTATATAAATTTTATGAATTTAATTTTTTTAAAGAAAATATATAAATATTTTTCAACTTGTTAAAAAAATATATATAATAAGGACAATTTGGTCAAATATACATTCTAATAATCTTTTATTTCTTTAACCAAACACGGTAATCTTACATTCTTGCTAAACCAACCAAACACAAAATACAACATTCCCAGTAATCCTATTACTTGGTAATCTTACATTCCCACTGATAATCTTATATTCCGTGAACCAAACGCACCCTTAACCTATACACATGTCCAATACGTGCTTAGAAACGATTACGAGTATGATCCTCAAAATATATGAATAACAGTTTTTACTAATATCCATCTAACATGTCCATTTTTTTCTTTCCTTTTGATGAGAAAAATGACAATTTGAAAAGTAATCAAATTAAAAAGTCCAAGCCTCTAACATAATGCCAAAGATAATCAAACAAGGGTCGAGAGCATACCGGTTTAACTTCTCCATTCCAAATAGAGTGAACAGCCAAGAATCCGATAACAGACGGTACAATATACAGAAGCGCAGGCTGAAAGCAAAATGAGCATAGAAAATTGTCATGAAAGAGGATGAGTGCATAGGGTTTGGGGTTTAGATAAGACAGATGGTCATAAATAGTTTACCTGTGCAGCTTGAAACCAGTTCATGACAACGATTGTAAGGACCAAGCCTACTGAGTACCCCAAAAATGTGCTCTTAAAATATTGGCTTTCTTTCCCCCTAGATACATCAAATCTTAATGCTAGTGCTACAAAAATACCTACAAGGGAGAAATAAACCAATATATCAAACAAAAAAAATATTGTTCACAGTTCACACAAGTATATTCTGTTTCTCATAGACAAGTAACTTGTCAAAAGAATAACGACCAAATAAAATAAAATGGAAACTAAAAGTACAAATTTTGCGAACCAAATAAATGTGACTTTATCTCCATGATAGTGCATATTAATTACTTAATAACAGATCCCTAAAGAAAAAAGTTCATATTTCATTAGAGAGCAAATGGCATTAGGGAAACACCAGCAGCTGAGTATTTCTGCCCAGGGATATTTGTTGCCTATCTTGGCAACAACCGATGATGATGTCATTGGTTATAACAGAAGAGAGATCTTTGAATAAACATCTCCATAATCAAACAACACAAGGCATTATGATACAGCAGTAAATAAGATCATAGTATAGCAACAAAGTGCATTAGTACCAAATAAAAGTATGCAAGTAGAGGAGTTCATGGGCCAAGCCAGATCACAGCCTCCCTAACCCAGGTCATTTGCCCTGGCCAGGTCAAAATTACCCATTTTACTATTCAAAACATAATTAAATATTAAAAATATACCATTTTTATATATTTTAAATTGAATTAAATAAAAAAATATTAGTTTTATCATTCAAATTTTAATTCAGGCTAGGTCAAATTTAAAAACACCTTGCCCGTTCCACTCTTGCGCAGGTCTACACGCAAGGCCTTAGATATCAAAAACCATAAAGTAAAACAGTTGTCAATTATGAGGTAAGATACAAGATAAAAATACAATTAGGAAGGGGAAAAAGTTATTGTACTTTCTTTTGTAGCAACATACAAAATCATAGTATACTTCTCTTTTAGTTAGAATCACTACAAAATAAAAGAAGAAGAAACCCTAAACAACAGTTCAGATCAAACAAGAAGCATTAATTATACCTACCAAATAAAATGAATTTCAAACATACCAGGAATTACAATATCACCGAGTCCAAGCATGGAAAATGGTCGGGCAGAGTCAGCTGTAGGGAACAACAGCTGCAGGAAAGAATCAAAGCAATAAGATTATTACCAAGGGTAACAAATTTAATAATACATGAAAATGTAAAGTACATATGTCGAAATAATAGCCAGGCTAAGTATTCCAAATGAAGGGGGATAAAGAAGACGAAGAACTGACCTTTATAGGAGCATCAAAAGACTTGGCAACGCTAACCATAACAGGCGTGAAAAAGACCCAGAAAATATCGTACACAAAAAGCCCACCCTGCAATGTGTAAAGATGGAGAAAATATCAGAGGAAAGAAAACATAGTTGAAAATGAGAAGGCAAAATTAAGTGGTCAAGCAGCTGACTAAAAAAAGTAATTTTTTAATCAGACGAAGAAAAAACATAACTTTGAAATTTGGCAAAATAATAACCTTAAAAAACAGAGAAAAAATGTAACATAGAAGCCACGGCCCACAAGGACCTATTCAAGTCTCATCAAAGCAGATTGCAAAGAATGGAAACAGGGTCTTCAGATCAAAATATTAACAATAAGCAACTATGGAGAAGTTGTTTGATTCATATCATGACTGATCAGCCTAACAATAAACAACTATGGTAAAGTTGTTTGATTCATATCATGATAGCTAGACACATGCAAAACATTGCTACATCGCATTAGACGTTAACTTGCCTCAATAACAGGGAATAACACACACAAAAACCACTAATCCACTTCTTACCAATAGAATGGCACCAGTCTTAAAAGATCCAAGAGAAAGCATTTCAATTCCCTACAAAAAAAAAATGGAAACCTTCAAACCACCAAGCAAACAAATAAAGGCCTTCATAAAATTATTTTTTTCATAAAAATTGGAAGTCTCGTTAAAAACCCCCTTCATACTTCTCGGATTACTGTAGAGTATTCCGATAAGTAGCGGAAGAAGGAAAAGAGTACCTCAGATTTTATTCCAAGAGAAAATCAATTACAAAAGTTCTAGTACATGTACGCCTCATAGGAAGACACCAACCACGAAAGATTACCACACTCCATCTAAATAAATCCCAAAAACAACCAAACTTCTATAAGGCCAACCCTTCTACCCAATTTCTTGCTTTGCTAGTTCATCTGCTTTAACATTTTCACTCCTCCGAACATGGCGGAGAACTATAGCCCATTCCCTAACAACAGTTTCAATATCTCTAACCAGATCCAAGAAAGGGCCAGGGCTTAATAGAGGGTCTTTCACCCAATACAAGGCAGTCTTACAGTCATGCTCTACAATCAGACTATTCTTCTTACTAATTTCCAGATCAAAAAACATTGAAATGCCTTGTTTTATGGCTAAT